TATAAGATATGCAGGATTATGCATAATATAAATTCAATTTTGTAAAGTACAGTGACATGTTAAAATTTTCCAAAATATTGTTTTTTATTGATCCAACATATTTTCCAAATATATCCCACTATTGACTTTATGATATATATATATATATATTTCCTTTCTTTGAAGTTGGAATAGCCACTTTCATATCCATTCTCTATATTAAATAAACTCTCAGAAATTCATATTTAATTGGGTATATTCAGAATTTCATTTCAGAATAAAAGGAGATCTTTAATTTTGATGGGGTGAGAGCTCTAGAAGAAAAAGTCTTGACATTTTGATTCATAAATAACTTTGATATAAGGAATTCATAAATAACTTTGATATAAGGAGTGTTCAACAACCAACTATAATAGCAAGAATATTTTTGTCTAATATTTTAATTTTTTAAATATATAATACCCAAATAACATAATAACATAAACTAATTGTAAATGTATTACATATTATAACTAACAGTCTATATTTTTAAATCTAGTTGTCAGGGTTTTAAAAAATTATTGAGGCCCTCCCTGGTGGCGCAGCGGGTTAAACACAGCACTGAGAATCTAAAACTGCTTCCGCATGAGTTCGATTCGTGCCTGCCCTGGAGGTGACCACATGGCGCGGCAGACCTCTCCTGACCCGCCCGCTGTTCCCCTCAGCAGTGTGCTTCGTAGATCTGCATGCTCTGTTCCCCACTCTGTCTCTGGTGAGGCCTCTCACCGCCCCTGAGCCTCTGGCCTGTACCCCAGTTCTGTATGCACAAATAAATAAATCTTTAAAAAAAAATTATTGAAAAAAAAGCAAACCTGGCCCTCCCTGGTGGTGCAGCAGGTTGGAGCACAGCACTATGAAGTTGTCTGCAGCCACTGCAGCAAAGTTTGATCCCTGGGCAGGGAGCTGACCCACATGGTACAGCAGACCTGTCTCGCTTGCTGCTCCCTCAGCAGTGTATCTCAGTTGATTCTCCTGTTCTGCTCTGGTAAATGTCCTCTCAGCCCCCTGCACCTCTAGTGTGGACCCCAATTCTTGTATGCATAAGTAAATAAAAGTAAATATTTAGGAAAAAACACAAATTAAGTTATTCCTCTTTCTTAGTAAGCTGGCAGTTGCCAAAAGTGAAATTTATCTCCCAATATTTTCCCCTAGGAAAGATGTCAGTGAAATTTTGGGGACATATAGCCCAAATTTTAGATGATTTATACAAAAACATTTTAAATAGGAAATATATAGAAATAAAGCTAAGCCATTATATAATGACCTACTTATTCAGAATCCAAGACAAGTGGAAAGAACTATGGAAAGTTTAAATGTGCATGTTCCGTGAAAGAAAATAGCAGATAGCAAGGATTACTGTTCCCAAAAGGACTTGTAGGTGATCCATTGGTCACCACAGATTAACCCCAATCCCTTAAACCCTATACATTTGTATTATTTTACAATGATAATTGCTATTTATAATAATGACCTTGAATTATTTTATGGTCCTGGAGAATTTTCAAAATCTTCAAAGAAAGATTAAAGTATTCTATGTGTATAAGCAGCAACTTGCCTTCCTCAGAACAGTACACTTACTTCTTGCTATATGTGATACTTAAAATGACTTAATTATCTCATTTATGCACAAGCCATGAGACCAGCTGCCCGGCTCCTTTCTGTATGTGGTGAAATGAAAGGACCAAATAGATACAAAATAGGGGGAAGAGCTGGGAAGGCTCCTTCACTACAGAGGACACAGGAGGACTCTGATGTCTTCGTGACATAATCAGTCAAGAAATTACATGATCATTTCTTAAAACCTTTACACATCTGGGAAGCTTTTTTATTACTAGGGAATTTCAGTGCAACTTCCTTGAAACGATGAAATTTTGGACAATGTTTTACTACCCATCTCTGCTCCCTTAGAGATTAACAGGCACAACTCAGCCTTTCCACTCCGCCCTTACCTGCCATTCACTTAAGACATAGGTGTGTTTGAATTTTGTGACATCTTTTTTCTCGAAGCCTGTATGAAGCAGTTATAATATATGACCGAACATTACCCACTTGCATAATGTTCTGCTTCCTAATTCTAACCTATGTGTCCAGCCAAAGACCATCTAGGAAGGCAGGGAGATGGCATAAAAGCCCCCATGGGAGGAAATTGCCAGTGAGGAAGAGGTCAGAAGTTTGGATGTGCTCTAAAGCCCTCCTCTTGATGCACCTTGCGTATAAATAACACATCTCTTCAGAAAGGGTCACCGAAGGCCTAGTAAAAGAAAGAGCGTCTAGCTTCTTAGAATACCATTCAATGAGGTAATGACTATCTGATGGACTCAAAGATGGAGAGACTAAGCAATGACTGACACAGCTGACCAGGGAGTGATAAGCCACCTACCAATCAAAAGTCTAGAAGAGCTAAGATCTAGAGCAAGGCAGGAGTTCGCCTCCAAGAGAACACTCTGCCTTACACCTTTCTGAATTCAAACCTCCTGATCTTCCTTTTTACCATCTTGGTTTTTACTGTTTAATCCTGCCTAAACATACGGTGTGGCCATCCTCCATGAGCTGTTCTGTACACTGTGTATGAGTTGGCCTGCCTCAGCATAAAGCTAATTGGTATTTAAGTTGTTGTAAACACAATAATCACCGTTATTTCTGGTATTTTTCTTGGGAGATAAAAGGAGTGTTCTCTAACAGGGTTAAATTTCATGTTTATATCTGTACATTTTATATTCAGCTTGTCAAGTTTCTTGAAATCTTTTGTTGAAATATTAATTGGATTTGTACTGATTCTGTAGACCAGCTTGGAGAGAATTGATGATGGAATTTCCATCACCAGATATATGTCTCATTTACTTAGACCTTCTTTAAATGTCTTTCAGAAAAGCTTATATTTTTTTCTTTAAACTTTTAAACACCTTTTGGTAAACATTCTTTAGAATGTTTTATGTTTTTATTTATTGTTATAGTTGTAATTTTCATGCCAATATAGAAAAATCACAAGACACTGATTTTATATTCAGACACCTATGTAAATTATCTTATTGCTTCTAATAATCTATACATTCATTTTATATTTTTCCATAGGCAATGTGAACATCATGAATAAAGACACTTTTGTTCTCTATTTTTATTTTTTCTTGTCATATACTGAATACAGATAGTCATAGTAGGCATTCTTTTCTTCATCCTGACTGTAAGAGGGACATTTTAAAACTTACCAGTGAGGAACAACTGAAGTATGCTTTTTTTGTTTTGGCAGATACTTTTTATCTGGTTAAAAATGGAATCATATATTTTTGTTTTCCTAAGCGTTGCCATTATGGATTTTTATCAAATGTATTTACATGCATTGAGATAATCTAAAGGCTTTTTCTTTTAAACTTCAATGGACTAAACCATATGATAGACTATTTTTCTAACATTATACCAACATTATATCCCATCTTATTTTTTCATGATATGTTTTCACTGTATTCACTTTGCTAATTATTTACTAATAATTGTTGAGAGATATTAATGTAAGATTTAACTTTTTTTGGACATGGTTTTAAGTTGATATTATGCTAACTTCATAAGTTATGTTGCTGAATATTACTTCTTGCTCTATCTCCTAAAGGATTGCTATGAGTGAATTATTTGTTTCCTAAACATTTAGTAAAACTGGCCAGTAGAGCCATCTGGGCTTGATATTTCATTTCTGGAAAGATTTTTGAGTACTATTTAACTTTTTCTAAAGGTTATAAGATGATTCACATTTTCCAGTTTTCTCTAGAGTCGGTTTTGGTGAATTTTTAATAGTTTAACAATTTTTCCTTTTCATCTAAAATTGATATTTATTGGCATTTATAGATTGTTTATAAATGTTAAACTGTCCTGGTATTCTATGCAAACTGGTGAGTGCCTGTTTTGTTTTTATACATTTCTGGACTTGGTTTCTAATAACTTGGTTAGGCTTTTTTGTTGTGCTCATGAGTTGGCCAATAATTTTCTCTTCCTATTCTTGTTATTGATGTTGATATTATGAATTCTGAAATAGTTTGAACACATTTTCCTTTTTCACTATCCTCTGAAGAGTTTAATTTTCAGATAAATCTATTTTGTTAGACCTTACCTTTATTGTGACCTGGTTTATTGTTCTCTCGTGGGAAGATTTCACTTTCTTAATTAGATTGTTTAGTCATTCTGTTTCTTCTTTTGGCATTTTATGTTTCCTTAACAGTCTATTGTAAAATTGTACGGGTGAATTAGAAAACAGCGAATTAGAAACAGGAAAGTTATCTATTTTATGAGTTTGGGGTTGTCACTGAAAAATTTTAACTATAACCAGTTGCCATAATGATCTGATGTCTAACTTCACACTCACTCAGAGTATTCTGAAAATTTTGAAGGCTGATAACTATTTTAAAGTTATGTAGAGACCCTGATATATCTAGTTATCTGTAAATGTGTTTCAAACTAAATGATAATGAAAATACCACATATCGAAATCTAAAAGCTGAAAATAAAGTAATAGAGGAGTGTTTATTATCTTAATTTTATAAATTAAGGAGAGAGGAAAAATAAATGTGTTAAATATCTATAATAAGAAATTACAGGGAATATAAAATAAGTGCAAAGAAAGTATAGGGAAAGACATAACAAGCATAAGAGCAGAAATCAATGAAATCAAAGCTAAAAATTACAAGAGTTATATTGGGTGAATCTCAGGAACATAATGTTGAATATTGAAAAAGCAAGTTACAGAAGAATACATGCAATATAACAATTACATAGATGTTAGGAACAAGTTAAGTTGAAAACACTGTGTATGGCATAATATTTTAGGTGATATTTTACCTCTGAACTGGGAGGTAACAACATGGAATTGGAGAACGATGGAAGAAGAAAAAAGGAAAGGAGGGAAGGTGAAGGGAAGAAATAGTGTTTGACTTTTTGCAATTCTTTTGTGAGTATTTTCTCATATATTCTGACCACTTTCCATTTTTAAAAACAAGGTTATTGCTGACATGGAAGCCCAGGTTCACAAGTTGAGAGAAGAGCTGATCAACGTGAACTCACAGCGGAAACAGCAGCTGGTAGAGCTCGGTCTTCTCCGTGAAGAGGAGAAGCAAAGGGCTGCGAGGGACCATGAGAGTGCTGTCAGCAAATTGAAGGCTGAATCAGAAAAGATGAGAATGGAGCTGAAAAAGACTCATGCTGCTGAGACAGAGATGACACTGGAAAAGGTAAGCTCTCTGTCTGGGTTTTTGTAGGCAACTGAAACCCGTGTTTGATAGTCACTGCTGCTGCTCCCTGAACACCAGTGCATGTAGAGCACTCTACAAAGTTTGACACTATCCAAAAGGAGCAATTGAAGTATGTTGCTGCGTGACTAAGCACCACTAAAATAATCTAGGAAATTTCCTAACTTTCCCTTGAATTTCTTGGAAAGATTTATCTGGAATGTCCTATTCCATAGGAATTAAATACGCGTTGTGATATAATATTGCTCAATGTTATACTGATGACAAACATTTGTGCTTGGGCCTCCCTGGCACTGCCAGGGTTAAAGTCTCAGTGCTACCAAGCTATCGCCAGCCACTGGAGAATAGGTTTGACCCCCCAGCCAGGGAACTAACCCACATTCAATGCCGAAGACCTCTCCTGTCTTGCTTGCTGCTTCAACATTGTGTTTCAGTACATCACCCTGTTCTGCTCCCCACTCTGTCTCTGGTAAATCCTCTCACCCATCCCTGCACCTCTGTTTTACACCCAGTTCTTGTATGCATAAATAAGTAACATTAAATCTTAAAAAAAATAGAAAAGAAATTCTTAGGCACTAAATTTTTCTAGATTAAGGCTAGATTTCAGATCTTTCATTGATCATTTACTAATAACTTTGGAGTTTTGGAGTTTTTTAAAATAGTGTAACTATAACATAAATAATGACATATTTTCCCAGAGTATTTTGGGTTAGAAGTTTCTTTAGACTATATATGTTTGAAATAAGTATCAGTGCAACATTTACACGTTTGCATTTATATTGCACATACAGTTTCAAGTATTCTTCCTTTTGGTAGTCTGGAAAAGTAAAAATGCTCCAGTTGAGTGGTCACAAGGAATTGTGTTAATTGTGACAACTGTGTGTTGTCCCTTAAACTCCTTACAATCTCTATATGTAAGTTTTTGTAACTTAAAAATCTTAGTGAAAGTTGGATGTTTTGCTGGCACTGAGGCCGCAGAAGCCACTGCATCTTTCTGTGCTTGCTGCTTCTATGTTTTAAAGCACTGGATGGGCTAATAATGTTTAATTTTAAAAATTTCACTAAACATCCCACCTAATGACCAGGAGAGACCCTGTACAGGTTTGCAATATTTTTTCCCCTATGTTTTCTTATTTATTTCCCCCACCTCCAGTTTTTAAGAATGGTGTTAAAAAATAAACAAAAAATGCACACTTGTGACTTGGTGTAAGTTGGAAAAGGTAAGTTAGAAATCTTCTAGTCCTGTTTTATTTTTCTCACCTGTTCTTTCTCATTCTTAAGTCATGTAAAACTGTTACTGAGTAGACAGCCACAGTCCAGGCACTCTTTCAGGCACAAAGGTGGCCAGTCTGTGGAACTTACCCTATAGTACCTTAATTTACCTGTCATTCCCACTTCAGCAGACTTTGCCCCCCACAATATAGCTCTGAATCCAGAAACCAATAGAAAAAGTACTGTAAGAGGCAGGAGTGAGCCTGACTTCTTGGAGAAACAGCAGGAAGACCAAGTGGCTGGAAAAGGGACTAAGCAGGAGGAGGTGATGATGTCAGGGGCCTCTCTGGGACAGGCTTTGCTTTGGCCCTCCTTGAAGAAGGAGGCCTGTGGACTTGGAGTAGAAGAATGTCAGGACCTGACTTATATTTGAATGGATCTTTCTGATAGCCCTGATGGAAATAGACTGAATTGAGCCAAAGAACAATGTAGGGAGGTTAGATCAACCCTACTGCAAATTTAGAAAAGATAGGATAGAGGCCTATGCCCGTGGAGTAGCAGTGAAGATGGTAAAACTGATCAGATTCAGGTGATGTTCAGACAGGTTTTGTTGCTGGTTTTGATCGGTGGTGGGGGAGTTGTCATGTATATGCAAGCACAAGAATGCACGTGAGCAGCCCAGTGTGAGTCCGGGGTGATTTGCGGTCGCGGCTAGACACGTAGGGTTGCCCTTTGCAAAAAGGAAGAATTGGTAAGAGTGACATGTTTGGATTGAGATATTCTTTATACATCCAAGTGAGGACATTCGTGATAATTCTGTCAGAGCAGTACAAAATAATGTTTGGTGCTAAACATACAGTTTCAAGAACTAAGGAGATTTCCTTTAGATGGAATAGTTTTAGACCTCTGATAATAGCGAATAAAGGGTTTACTGTAGAGAGTGATGATGTTTGCTTGTCTTTTCTGGTACCTTGTACCTTACCATGCTTCACTCACCTCTGCCAACAGTTGAAAGTATATCTATGTAAGGGTTCTTCAGTGGCACAGCTACCAGTACATCTTAACTTAAGGAAAGTAGACATATCTAAACAGCATTCGCATACATTAGAACACATTCAATTTAGGGCTCAATTTGCTTGTATTATATATTTTCATTTTATTAATTTATATATGATATATCTCATCACAAGCTCAATTTGCTTGTATTATATATTTTCATTTTATTAATTTATATATGATATATCTCTTTTGTTATATATGTTCTTGTATTATATAAATTTTAAATATTTCCTTTTCCTTTTGTTAGGATATGAACTTTTTCAAAGATACACTTACATGTGTTACTAGTTGAAAAGTTTCCGAAAATTTTTAAAAATTAGTATAGAAATCATTGGTAAATATATATGCAAAAAAAAAAATCTGGAAGTTTTTCTATATCCCAGATACAGAAACTACATTATCCCAGGCACTATTAGGCTCCAAAGAAAAAAGAAAGAAAAAAGCCACTGTCCTCTAGGAAATGATAGTGGTGACTTAGAGGCATACACTCATACACAAATAACTATTGCGCAAGGTGGAGTAGACATTGCTGAGGGGGGCATTATTTTCTGTTAAAAAAATCTGGGAAGACTAACGGGAATTCCAGAGATGTCACCTGAACTAGGCGTAAATAATATATAAGATTTTGATGGAGAAATGAAGATTCTCAGCCAAAAGAATAACACCAGTATGAACAAACAAAGCCATTTACAGAGCTTAAGAGGTTGATGGAGAGGTGGCTAATGATCAAGCCAAGGGATGGCTAGGTATTGCTGGAAGTCTCCAAAGCTGTGATAAGAATTGCAGCTTCACTGGATCAACAGTGAGAGGCTCCTGATGGTTTTCAATGAAGCATTAAGATTCAGTTTATTAGGAAATTCTGCCAGTGTGTGCAAGACGCCATAGCAGTAGTAGCTGGTAGGACTGGTTTAATCCAGGCAAGAGGTCTTGAGGACAGCGAGAGGGGCATGAAAATAGTGAATGTAGAAGCAATGGTGGACCAGAAGTGACAAGTCTAGAAAGCATCAAAAATATGACACTGATTAGACTTTAATATAAATCCCACTCTTAATACATTGGGATGTAAGAGAAGTTTCCTTTTGGGAGAGGGAGGTGAATTCTTGACAAGAACTTGAGTTTCAAGGACCACTGCTATACCTAGTGTGAGCTTCATTTGCTATTGAAGGGTTTTGGTAGGTAATTGTAAGAGAAGGCAGGACTAGAACAAAATAGCAGTGGGAGTCACCTACAGAGAGGGCAGACTGCGACAGAAAAGGAATAGCTATGAAGGAAGAACTTCATGGAGAGACCCCAGAGGAAACAGTCAGTGAAGGGTCATCAAGATGAGAAGAATATGAGAAGAAACTACTTATAAAGGAAGATTGTCAAGAATGTGACAGAAAGTCAGAAAGGATGGGGGTGGAAGAAAGGCCAGGGGTATGAAACTGCGAACTCATTGATGATTTTGGACAGAGCATTCAACATATCGTGTGGACAGAAACTTGGTTGCAAAAGATAAGTGAGAGAGTCGTGAGGAAGTGGAGATTAGTGAATGAACTATTGTTTTGGAAAATCTGATAGTAAAAGTCCGGGGTAGTTCCAAAGAGCAGCAGGAGTTAAGGAAAGTGTATTTTAGGCTGAAAATGTCTTGAGATATGTGAGAAGGAACTAATGGGAAGAGGTTTGTGGTGCAGAAACCGTAGATAACAGCTGGCCAGTGGTCACAGAGCCAAGGGCATGTGCAGTTACCAGCACCAGTGCACCCTCGCCCCTCGGCCTATTCCTTGCTCTCTCCTGCCTCCAGGAGCTCACGCATCCCTGCTTGGGATGTCTCGTGGCTCCTCCTCCTGCTCCTCACTCTGTATGCTTTAGTGTGTTCTTCCCGACCTCTGTCGTCTTTAGTCTGAAGACTTGCCGACCTCTTCCACCTTCCCTTGTTGCATTGCCTAGAGTCATCCACTGTCAGAAATCTTACAGATTTTTTGGCTTTTTTTTTGTTTTCCATATCCCTTCACTAAAACTTAAGGTCCATTTACATAACCTTGTCTATCTCGATACCAAGAAGATTCAACACACAATAGGTACTCACCTTATATGAATAAGCCACGGGAAATACAGGAGCCATGATGTTCTAGGAGGCAGGAAGGAAGAAGAGGGTTGAGAAGAGTTTATATCTAATTTCATCTGCTTTCTTGGTAAAGAACCACAGTCGTCTGCTCAGAGGAGTCATTTCAGGAAGGTGCAACAGCCAGGCTTCTGGCGGAGCAGATGGATGGCTGGGAAGGAGGAGGGGGAAGGAAATTTTCTCAGGAAGTGTAGGAGTCCTGTTAAGTAAGAGAGAGAACATGGCATCTGAACCTGAAGCATATGATGTTCTGAAGTAAACTGAGAACACAATACAAGAGGTTAGAAACAGGGTTTCAGGCAGTCCTGTTAGCTGACACGGATAAAGATGCCTGATGTTAACCAGAATTCAGGGACCATAAATCCCTTTGTTTTTGCCTAAAAAGAAAGAAAAAAGGATGAGAGCAGTAAGTGGACCAGAGTTTAATGCCATGAATTTGTTGAGTTGGTAGAATTAGGCAACAGCAAAATCCATAGGATAAAATAAAATTACAAATGCTGGGCTCTTGATAGGAGGAGTGATTTGTATTTCCATTGATAAGTATTTTTTACTTACTAATAGAAGTTTAGCATGTTCCAATGCAGTGAAAAGACAGACTGTGCATTCC